ATCTCGGTTGGAACAAGAAAGGAAGCATGTGTTTACTCTTGACGTCAAGTATTGTCAAATGGATTTCTTTACGAATTTTCGGAGAACGGATGACGCTACGAGTCTCATAATCTAAAACTACAATTCTTAAGCCTAGCACAACTCAGAAGAAAAAGATCTCGGTTGGAACAAGAAAGGAAGCATGTGTTTACTCTTGACGTCAAGTATTGAAAAAATCGATTTTTTTACGAATTTTCGGAGAACGTATGACGGTACGAGTCTCATACTCTAAAACTATAATTCTTAAGCCTAGCACAACTCAGAAGAAAAAGATCTCGGTTGGAACAAGAAAGGAAGCATGTGTTTACTCTTGACGTCAATTATTGTCAAATGGATTTCTTTACGAATTTTCGGAGAACGAATGATCTTATGAGTCTCATACTCTAGAACTATAATTCTTAAGCTTAGAACAACTCAAAACAAAAAGTTCTCGGTTGGAACAAGAAAGGAAGCATGTGTTTACTCTTGACGTCAATTATTGTCAAATGGATTTCTTTACGAATTTTCGGAGAACGAATGATCTTATGAGTCTCATACTCTAGAACTATAATTCTTAAGCTTAGAACAACTCAAAACAAAAAGTTCTCGGTTGGAACAAGAAAGGAAGCATGTGTTTACTCTTGACGTCAATTATTGTCAAATGGATTTCTTTACGAATTTTCGGAGAACGAATGATCTTATGAGTCTCATACTCTAGAACTATAATTCTTAAGCTTAGAACAACTCAAAACAAAAAGTTCTCGGTTGGAACAAGAAAGGAAGCATGTGTTTACTCTTGACGTCAATTATTGTCAAATGGATTTCTTTACGAATTTTCGGAGAACGAATGATCTTATGAGTCTCATACTCTAGAACTATAATTCTTAAGCTTAGAACAACTCAAAACAAAAAGTTCTCGGTTGGAACAAGAAAGGAAGCATGTGTTTACTCTTGACGTCAATTATTGTCAAATGGATTTCTTTACGAATTTTCGGAGAACGAATGATCTTATGAGTCTCATACTCTAGAACTATAATTCTTAAGCTTAGAACAACTCAAAACAAAAAGTTCTCGGTTGGAACAAGAAAGGAAGCATGTGTTTACTCTTGACGTCAATTATTGTCAAATGGATTTCTTTACGAATTTTCGGAGAACGAATGATCTTATGAGTCTCATACTCTAGAACTATAATTCTTAAGCTTAGAACAACTCAAAACAAAAAGTTCTCGGTTGGAACAAGAAAGGAAGCATGTGTTTACTCTTGACGTCAATTATTGTCAAATGGATTTCTTTACGAATTTTCGGAGAACGAATGATCTTATGAGTCTCATACTCTAGAACTATAATTCTTAAGCTTAGAACAACTCAAAACAAAAAGTTCTCGGTTGGAACAAGAAAGGAAGCATGTGTTTACTCTTGACGTCAATTATTGTCAAATGGATTTCTTTACGAATTTTCGGAGAACGAATGATCTTATGAGTCTCATACTCTAGAACTATAATTCTTAAGCTTAGAACAACTCAAAACAAAAAGTTCTCGGTTGGAACAAGAAAGATAGTATAAGTTTACTCTTGGTCCGATAGACTGTTTGTCAAAAAACTTTTTTTTAATTTTTCGGGCTTATAATTAAACTTATTGATTTGTGCTTTTGGAACAATGTTTGGAACAACTAGAACAAT